ATAGGTGTTTCAGACCTTTAGAGATGCTTCAAAAAGTGCGCCAAGTTAATTCAGTTCTTTTGCATTCGTTTATATTGGCTTTTCCCAATTTAATTATTATTACTAATAATTTTAATTATGAATAAAAACTTTGTATTTCGCATTTTGAATAGCTGCTGAAATTTAAAACCATGAGAAAAAGACGCAGAGTAATTTTCTGTTTTGGAAATCACCTGGTCTACATTTTTGTCATTGCCCAAGAGGCTGATCACTTAGCTGATTCACCGATGCTTCGCGACCCGAAATATTGTCTTTAGCCTGTTCTTCATTCACAAAGCGAATCGAAACTTCAGCTTTCATCTGATTTTAGCTTGTTTTTAACTAAAACTAATTAGCCTCCGCCCTTATTTAAATTCGATTTTTTAGTCATTAATCCATTTCATCCATTTTTTAAACTCCTGCAAGCTATGTGTTTCAGAATTTTCCGTATTTTTCCATTTTTCCTAAGCTATAATACCATCTGTATAAAATGTTCTAATTTCTGTTTTCAGATATACCCTAGAATAAAAATCGTGTAAATAATTTGTGTCAATTTAAATCAAATTTTGGTTCTGTTCTATTTCTGAGCTGGCGGGGGGGAATTTCTTCGTTTTGTTATAACTATTTTATATGATGCTATTTTGAGTTTTCATGAAAACTCTTAGTATATTTTTTGACGCTCTATCGAATGGCATTAGAGAAATTTTTGAAAGTTATCGAAAATGTCGAAAACTAGCTTTCGACTACACGATCCCATGTGGAAACACCGAATAAACCTTGTTTTTGCTATAACTATTTTATAAAGCAATATTTTTAGATGAAATTAAAACTCTTAGTATATTTTTTGATGCTCTATCGAATGACGGGTTCAAAATATCGAAAAAATGCCGAAAATGCCGAAAACTAACATTCCGGAACCAGTTTCAATAGTTTTTTTTTGTTTTTGCTATAACTTTTTTATATTACAATATTTTTAGCTAAAATAAAAACGCTTAGTATATTTTTTGATGCTCTATCGAATGGCGTTGCAAAAATCCCGAGAAAATAGCGAAAAGATGGAAGGTTCCGCGAAGCATATTTTCCCCCGCACAGTTTCCCCGCGAAATAGAACAGAACCCAAATTTTTATCCAGGTAACTTACAGCTTGTTTGAAATTAAGAAATTTTCCTTTGCGCAAATTATGTGTTCCAAATTTTTATCTTCCTTCTTAAGCACCGGATAACTCAATGGTCCATCTCTTTATTTGTTTCCGGTTTTCAAGCAAAAAATCGAATCTATACTGCAAATCGTTTCAAATAAAACCATATCTTTATTTAATTTAATTAGTACTAGTAAATTTAATTAGTATTAGTACTAGTTAATCTCTACTTCATTCGCTCCTTGCTAACTTTTAAAAATCAGTTTCTTTCATAAATTACTAATTACATACGCCATTCAATTATGCTATTTTACCCTAATTTAATTTTTTGTTTTGTCAGTGCAGGCTAGCGGAGATCATTTGGGAACAAGCCGCCAATGCGCATTACTTAAATTTCTTACGGGATTCCGTGGAGTTTCGGTAAAACATTAATTTTCTTAATTAAGCACGCATGACCAGGCTAGCAGAGATCATTTGCGGAAACAGCCCTACAAACCACTTCCCGGTTCCTTTAAAATAATGGCTTGCCATCTGGCCGTAAGGGAGTACTCGAGCGGAACGAGTAGTGAAGCGGGGGAGGCAGCCCATAAATCGTAAAAAGCCACGGGGGGTTGAAGCGCCTTTATTGTGCTTTTCCGTTATTCTGACTGCGTGGGGCTTAACGGGCCCGTAAATCGGGCCCTTTAATGGGCCTAGGCTTCTCTCTCTCTCACTCTCTCACTCTCTCCCTGTCTCTGTCTTCTCTCTCTGTCTCTTCTCTGTCCTCTCTCTCTCTCTCTCTCTCTCTCTCTCTCTCTCTCTCTCTCTCTCTCTCTCTCTCTCCACTCGAATCCCCGAGATCTTGATGCAAGATAACCCCTAGGGGGGCCCCAAAATTTTTTGAAAAGATCTATAAAAATCGGCGAATTTATTAAATGTCTACAAAAATATAATTGCCTTTTAGTGCATCAAAAATAATAGATTAATAATAATAACAGTTAAACCACCAAATATTGCCAAGAAAAAATGTTTCGAAGAATTGCAAATTTACGATATTTGAAATGGCCTTAATGCACAATCGCCGAGAGTTGGAACAGTGTCTTTATAGTTACGATTAATTGTCGAAGTGTGTAGGAAATTGCGAAAATCGTAATGCCGACATTTACGTAAGAAAATCTCACGGAAAAACCCAGCAAACTTGCGCCGTCATTCGGAAACCCGTTTACCGAAAAATGACATGAAAATTGAAGTGTTTCGCGGCTAAGAGTCCAAAAACACTATTTATTCCCCATAATTCAATATAGTGGATTAGTTGCCATAAAACCCTCGGATCCCGCCACATTTCAGCAAAAATGCCGCGACGGCAGGCTAGCAGAGAGACATTTGGGATGTATCGCAGGCAAACAAGCAAAACCTGTTTCATGTTGATGTGAGGATGCCTATTCATTTTTCTTATCAGTAGGGGGGCGATCTTTGGAATCAACAGATAAGTTAGCCAATGGAAATTTTAACCATATTTAAAGCAGTAACACTCTCAAAAAAAGCTAGAAAAATGTTTGAAAAAGCCGAAAATTTGGTCATTTTGGGTCCTTCCCCCCGCGAATCCTGAAGCTTCTATAGGATTCGGCGACCCAAAATTAGATTTTTTAATTAAAATTTGTGTAGTTTTTATGCGTAAGAATAGTTCAAACAGTTTAGAAACGCATCCGATATCTATAAAAAAATTAGCATTGTGCCGAAAAAAATTGAGGATCTTGAGGAAAGCATTGACAACCTATTAAAACTGTCTTTCCGATTTAACTAATTAATCCAAGGGCTGCGTGAAATGTTTTTGCTAAAAATAGCAAGTGGGCAGGCTAGCAGAAAGGTTTTCGGGAAAATATATTTGGTGCCGGACTATAAAGACGGAGAAGCTAGCAGAAAAGCTGCAGGAAAAAAGGATTAAAACGCGTGAAAAAAGCGTGTTTCGCGGAAAAAATGGTAAAAATATTATTTTTCTTTTGCTAATATTCCGACGTCCTTTTCATCAAAAAAAAATTTTGAAAAAGTTGATGAGGAGGTGGCTAGCAGAGATGCTTCCGGAAAAATATTTTTACACCCCCAGAAAAAAAAGCGCGTTTGATGCCGAGAGCCGGCGAAAAACACAGATACCAATTCTGAATATCGTTAAATCCGAACAGATACAAAATTCGTGGTCTTACGGCACTTTACGGAAATGATTGGAGCTAAAGGCAGGCTGGCAGCTACTATTAAGGAAATTCCTGCTAACTTCCAAGCAAAAAAGTGATTCAGGCTTAAAGGACGATGGAATTGAATTTTTAACCAACTCTCTTCAATGCACTTCTTGGTAAAATTACCCCGAATAGGACGTTGGAAAGTTTCTAGCAAAAACGATTTGTGCAGGCTGCAGGCTAGCTGCAACGATTTGTGGAAATACCAAAGGCTTCGAAAAGATGTGTTTCGATCCAAATATACCAAAAGCCGTTACCGTTGATGTTAATACTTCCTGAAATTTGAGCTTCAAATCACGCCAGAAAATCCACCCAGGTTTACATTTGCAAAATTTAATGAGTAATTTGATAGCAAGAATTTCGCAAATCGGCAAAAACTTCTTGGAAAAGCAACGTCAAAATTTAGAAAAAGGGATTTTCACCTGAGAAACGCTACCAAAGAAGTTCGATCTCACGAATTTCTTGGTCTCTCGGCCTGTGAACAATTTTGCACCAAAAAAAATCCCTTTTTTTGGCAGATTGACAGAGATGTTTTAAAGGGCGATAAGGGTGGCGATGGCTGAATTAATAGAAAACGAAAATTGTAATTTGCGAGTTTTTGAACATTTTAAACTTTTAAAGAAACGTACCGACTGTCGAATATTAATTTTGGCATTTAGAAGCGAAAGTACCAATTTCAAGTTTTGACTATAAGGATCTTGATAAAAAATAATCGTGATAAAAATTCAGAAAAGACAAGATCAAAAAAAGCACACACTAAAAAACATGTTTCATCTCCCGACAATCACGAATAATTATTCTTTTTGGGAGTTATGAAATGAAAAGAAGCTCCGAATTTTGCAGGATCGTGTCTCGAGGATTTCGACGCCAGGCATAAAGACTCGTGTATGGGAGGACGGTGGAGGCAGCAGTGGTACTTTGACCGGGCAAACAAGGCGAGTTCATTGGGGAATTTGGAGGATTTCAATGACTTTAAGCATCTATTTATATTACCTTGAAAGTTACATTTATTTGATGTTATGGCTACCAAATGTGCCAAGAACTACATATTTTCAAGAAATAAAAAAGCCTAAAATCCCTGAAACTTTGATTTTCCAAAAAAAATGTAATAAAAGCCTTATAATTTTTGTAATGCAAAAGTAACCCGATCAAAACGATTTTCTGGGGCTCAATAAAATATTAAATATATTTTTTGTGGAAAAACGATAAAAAATGCCGCGGTTTTGTTCGAAAACCGCCCACCTTTGTCCGAGAGTCGATATTTTTTGTGTTGTTGACGGATAATTCGTAAAGTTTTTACGCTCAGGACTAGTAAAAAGAAGAAACACTTTATCTATTTTTATTCGAAAAAGAACCGGACGCTAAGAAAAAAAGATTTCATCTACCACCATGATAGATCGGATTGGCATTTTGGACGTACTTAACTTCCCGGAAAAAATTGAAACATCAGAATAAACAATTAAAAAATTCCGAATATTTCGTGTGTACGTATAAATCAGATTTATTGAGGAAATTCACAATCTTCAATAATATTTAGAACATTAACTAAATCCTTTCAGGAATGCACGGCATTTTGGTACGACGGCTGCAAGGGGGACGGGACGAATTTGTTCGAGGACGAGCAGAGCTGCTTGATGACGTGCGAGAGGCCGGCCAAGGAGGATGGTAGGGGAATTTGTATATTTTAATTATAGTCTTGTAATTTTAATGCGATAATTTTTGTAGCAATTTTATTGTTAAGCTTGTTAGTTTTCGCCAACATATGATTGATCCAGCAATGCTGTCTGATTTTCACCGGATTTCTGGATTTTTCGCAACACAGAATTTTTAGCTTCTCAAGTAGTCAGTCTCTCCTCTCTCTCTCTCTCTCTCGCTCTCTCTCCCTCTCTCTCACTCTCTCGCTCTCTCGCTCTCTCTCTCACGCTCGTTCGCTCTTGCTCTCACTCACTCACTCTCTCACGCTCTCTCAGGCTCCCTCTCGCTCTCTCTCGCTCTCTCTCTCGCTTTCTCTCACTTTCTCACTCTCGCTCTCTCTCCACTCTCTCTTTTTTACTCACTCACTCTCTCTCTCTCTCTCTCTCTCTCACACATTTTTAGGTTTTCTAAATATTTCAAAAAAGGAAACATTGCCGAAATTACACAACGTATTTTCCGTTAAACTACCCGGAAGGTCGAAACACATTGTTTGCATTTTTTTGTATTCCTATATGGCAATTTTTTCCAAAACACCCCTTTCTAGCCTCGAAACCCTGGCACAAGGGCGAGAAGAAGAAGATGAAGGAGGTCGTCGGGCCGGTTTTTAGTGAGTTTTTGAGGTGTTAAAAGTGTGAGCAAAAATGATGTAAGGAGCTAATAGATACCCTCTAAAATGAGGAGGAATTCAAAGCACATTTTGATTTTTTTTTTGAACATTTTGAAAGTTTCGTCGAGAATGCAGTAAGCCGTCATGACAAAACACGAGCCCATTAGCATCAAAAAGATCTCTTTTTTTAAGCTGCCGATTCGAAACATTTTTTCAGAACCCAACTCTTCGAACATTTGCGAGACGGCGAATCCTTGTGAAAATGGCGCGAGCTGCCATTTCTCGCCGAGAAGAAATGATTATAAATGTCGATGTCTGAAGGGATGGACGGGGAAGAATTGCACACAATCTGCTGGTAAGGAGGGGCAGGCTAGCAGAGATCATTTGGGATGAGAGAGAGGGGGAGGGGGCAGGCTAGCAGAGATCATTTGGGATGAGAGAGAGGGGGGGGGGGGCAGGCTAGCAGAGATCATTTGGGATGAGAGAGAGGGAGGGGGCAGGCTAGCAGAGATCATTTGGGATGAGAGAGAGGGGGAGGGGGCAGGCTAGCAGAGATCATTTGGGATGAGAGAGAGGGGGAGGGGGCAGGCTAGCAGAGATCATTTGGGATGAGAGAGAGGGGAGGGGGCAGGCTAGCAGAGATCATTTGGGATGAGAGAGAGGGGAGGGGGCAGGCTAGCAGAGATCATTTGGGATGAGAGAGGGGGAGGGGGCAGGCTAGCAGAGATCATTTGGGATGAGAGAGAGGGGGGAGGGGGCAGGCTAGCAGAGATCATTTGGGATGAGAGAGAGGGGGAGGGGGCAGACTAGCAGAGATTATTGGACGAATTCGAGGTTTTAGAATTCGACCCCTGCTCCTCGAACCCATGCCAAAATGGGGCCACCTGCCAAGCCAAAAAAGAGAAAGGACAGCCGACCACGTACGAGTGCTACTGTGCACGGGATTACGGTGGCCCGAGCTGTGATCAGCGTAAGTTTATTTGCTATTTTTATGAGTGTATTAACCTCACTAAAAGGTAAGTGATCTAAGCAAGAAATCAGAAGTATTTTTTCCAATTTGGTGTTTCATCTATATATGTCAAAAACCATAAAAAGGATAGTTAATCATTTTGGCTAGCGTCGATCCATTGAATTTATCAGTTACCGTTTTACCCGATTTTTAAGAAACCAGAATCAAGTTTTTCAAAAACCAAACGGCTGTTTTGAGCCTTTGTTTCATCGACTTATGGTTAATCCCAAAAATTCTTATATTTAATGAAGAGCATGTTTGGCTAGAATTTGCGATCAGCTAGCAGCTGGCAGAAATTGAAAAATTGTCTCTAAAATTGCAAATGGTTTTTCTATTTGTATATAAATTTTGTTATTAGAAGCTAATCCAAATTTAAGAAATGAAGCCAGGCCCTAAAATTATCAAAAAAAAACATATTAAGAAGACTTTAAAATTTTTTGTGTTTTATCGAAATTACCGCAAGCAAAAATTTGGGTATTTGTAATGTGTCCGGTGCAGACGGCAAAAGCCAATATTTTTGTATGTATTAACTTGTTTTGCGTAAATTAGATGATAAGTATCCGCTAGATTCAAATTAAGGTCTGTTTTGTATTTTTTATGTTTCATCGAGTTTCCACTAGACCAACATTTTTTCAGTTTTTAATCATGCGAGGGTTACTTTGGCCTAATCATTGTCAAAAATTGAATGGCATTCGTTAGCTTAAATATCTCAGAATTTGAGTTATATTACTGTATTCACCTTCAAATTTAGCTTGATTAAATTAAAATTAAATTCGATGTCAATTCAGGCCCCTGCGAGCAGAATCCGTGCCAAAACAACGGCACGTGCCGGACGACGCGCTCCCATCAGCTGTATTTCTGCGATTGCCCGAACGGGTTCGGGGGCCGCGATTGTGATGTTGGTGGGTCAAAATTAATTTTATTAAATGTAGTTAATAATTGCAGTTCGATATTTTAATTATTTTCCGCCATTTAAAACGCAAAAAATTTAAAAAAAAAGTGTTACGACAATTTTCAAAAATAGCCCTGGTTGTACCGTTCTACTGACGTTGATGCTGTTGACCAATATGTGGTTCAAATTCATTTTCCAAAAAATCAAAAATCCCCCTAAAATAGAAAAACATTTATTTTAGTGGTTCTTTACAAAATGTTGAGGAGGATCGCTTTGCTAACATATTTCGAAATTCCGGATGGTCGCCAATTTTTTGCATAGTATTTGGGGGCGTTTTCCGACCGATTTTCTCATGTGATTTTCGACATTCTTAAACGTCGACTCTATCAATTTCGACGATATAAACTGAAGATTTTTCAAGTCACTTCAATTACATTTTTTAGAAATTGAGCTGATTTTTAACGCTTTTAATTTCCAGCAATCGGCCAAACGCCGCCGGAGAAATTCGGGAAAAACGTGGAGCAAGTGTCGTCCGGGCGGGCCGAATGGGTCAATGAGATGAAGGTATGTTTTTATTTTTAGCTTATTGTTTTTGTCGCCGCGCGATACGCAACGCGCACGCTGGCCTTTACAATGCGTAATCGAACACGACGCCAAAAAAAAAGTTTTGAAATCGTGTTTCATTTTCAAGTCGCGCTCTGGAAAAGATTTTTTTCCCAATGCATTGCGGATCAGAAAAAATGAAAAAAGGTTTTCCATCTAAAACATCGTCTCAGAAAAAAGATTTGATTAATTCGCTTTGTTTTGAAACGCTCCAAAACATTCCGGGAATTGATGGCCATCGAAAATTCAAGTTTCCGCGGTAATGTTTCAGTATTACATAACGCTATCAGAAAATAGTGGCTCTTAATTGTTGGTTTTCTGCCACGTGGAGCACGAAATTTTTAGGAATTTGACTTTGGTATCTTTTAAAAGACTAAAATCTGCCGCCGAAATGATGGTATGGATTGTCACAATCTATACGCTTGCCTTGCTGGGCCCTTTAAAAAAGTGAACAAATTCGGGTTGCCAGAATCATGTTTCAATTCTATGGCACTCTCACTCGAAATAATATTTTTTAATACGCGGTGATATGTACAATTTTGCACAAAAGCTATCTACCTGGAAAAACTAGCCGTGTTATTGGTTAGAGTTTAAGTTAAATTTTTGCAATTTTTTTTAATAATTCTGATCCTAAATAATCTCTGCTAGGTGACAACAAAAAATTGAAGATTTTAATAAGATTAATATAATTCATAAATTCCCCAATTTTTACAATTTTTAGCTGCGCTTCGCCAACAAGAAAAAGAGTGACGCGGACGATCCGGAAGGGGCGGCAGCCGCCGCAAAAGAAGCCGCCGCCGCCGACGAGCCGTATAAAGGTATCGTTGCGTACTTTAGATTCGTAAAAGAATTAAAATTGAGTTTTCATCAGAAAAGTGTAATAAAACTGAAATTATTGGAATTTTTAGTTATTTTTTGGCAGGATTGTTGTTTTCTATATTAGATATAAAACTACAAAACTAAACTAAACTAACCAAACTAAATTTTTTATGGTTATTGACAAACGTGCAACATTTTAATTAAACATTTTGAAGTTTTTTTGGTGTTACAGGAAGAACTTATTAACTATAATGTTTTATATAATTTAATTTTAGATAGATTGTAGATAATTTTCATAATTTAATTATTGAATTCGATATAAGCTTATACATTTTGGTCAACCAACTTTTACCAGGAAATTTAGGAATTCGTAGTCAGTTCAATTACCAATTCCGACGTCAAATTGAATGGTTTCGATTTCACCGAAGAATGCAGAAATTTGAAACTTTTTAATTTCATCCTCAAAATCTTTTTAGTGAGAAAATGATCTAACTTCAGCCCCAAAGACAGAGACTTAGTTACAAAGCTTTTAGCATTACAAAACCAATTCTTTTTGTAAAAAATAGTTTTAATTTAGTAGCTTAATAATAATTTAATATGCTTTTTTAATATTCAGATGCAAAGCAGCAAAATTTGATAATTCTTATGGGCATAGGTCCAACGTCACACTGAATAGTCTTGATTTTACCGAAAAATCCAGAAAGTTGAAACTTTTTAATTTCATCTCCAAAATCTTTTTTAGTGACAAATTATCTAACTTCAGCCCCATTGACTATAAAATTAATCGCAGGATATTGAATTTTACAAAACAAATTATTTTTCTTAAATATAAAAAAATAGTGTGTGTGTGTGTCTGTGTAGATTTGCATCCACTTCCGGAGGTATGTTCCGCTCATAACGGGTCAGGGAAGAAGTTTTCCGATATGTTTTATACGTCATTTGGTGCGTAATGGAGTGGAGATGACTGCCGACTTATTAGATTTTTCAAAATGTACTATTTTCGACATTAAATTTAGGTTTTTGTGAAAGGACCTTTCTTAGGCAAAATTTGCATGCGCCGGAAGTGGATATTGCCTATAAAATCAGGCTACAGAGGAGATTTCCCATTTTTGTCAGCGGGATTTGGGCAGAATATGCAAAGTATTTTTGTGATCGTACCTAGACGAGGCCCAGGGGTGAAAAGCCGCGGAGCGGCTTTTCAACCCTGGTTTTTCTTAAAAAATTGATTGAACTTTTTAATTTTCAGACGCCAAGCAAAAGAAGCGAGAGCGTGAGGAGAAGGAGGAAAAGGAGAAGCTCGAGGCGGCCGCCATTCAAAAGGCCGAGGAGGGAAAGCGGAAGAAGGCCCAGCAGGAGGAGGAGGTAGGCTAGCAGAGGCGATTTGGGGAAAATACGATGGAATATGCAACTGTTCGAACCCATTAAAAACGAAGGTTTCAAAAATATTGATGTTACTCGAGCTATGACACATCATTAGTTCTAGGATGTACTTAAATTTACAAAAAAACTAGCCGTTTTGAAAACTACGAAGAGGCAGGCAGTTTGGGGAAATACGATGGAATATTCGATGCAAATCTAGCCAGATTAAAAGTTTCAAAAATTTTTGATGTTACTCGAGCTACGAAACATAATTAGTTAGATGCTGTATTATTATTTGCTGGAATGCAGAAAGGAAATCACGCGGTTTTGAAAAATACGACATAGCAGAGGCAAATTGGGGCGAAATACGATGGAATATGGAGGTTTCAAAAATATGGATGTTACTCGGGCTATGAAACATATTATTTTGAGGATATACAAAATTTACAAATAATTTACAAAAAAACTAGCTGTTTTAAAAAATACGAACTAGCAGAGGAATATGGGAAAATACGATGGAATATTCGATGCAAATCTAGCCAGATTAAAAGTTTCAAAATTTTTTTGGTGTTACTCGAGCTACGAAACATAATTAGTTAGATGCTGTGTTATTTTGGAGGAATGCATTTTACATGATTTTTACGTATAAAAAAACTGAAAAAATAAAAATTTCCAAAATGTTGATTTATTTTCGTCAAAAATGCATTAAAAATGACCAACTAGGGCCACAGCTTTAGAATTTTCAAATTTAAAAACAATTTTTTTATAACATAATTTTAAGAACCCCATAAAAATTATTTGGGAATTTAAGGTGTATTTAGGTGTTCAGGAGCTGCTTTTTATATATTATGGATAAGCAAAAACACACGGTATTATAATGCAGAAATGGCACCGAAATACCAAAATCTCTGAAACATCTTTTTACTATCGCCTTTACAAGCTGGGCACGATAACGGCAATCGGTTCTTTTGCATTATCGGGGGTGGGGCATCGATTTTCCATGGATGCCTAGTTAGGAGTAAGTATTTTAAAGATGTTTGGGGGTAGCATACACTCCCCCCGGAGCAGGCCAGCAGAGGCCATTTCGGAAAAGAAAAGCTTGTGTAGGCTAGTCGCAGGAATATTAAGTGATCGGTTTGATTCTTATGATTTTCAATTTTTGAAACATCTTTCGGATCAAAAATTTTTGTTTTTGAAATGTATTTTAAATTTACCTTAACATAGAAATTCCGGACAAGCTGGCAGAGGGCATTTCAGGAAAATACAAGCGATCGCAAATGGCACAAATTGTTTCGCAAAGAAAATCGGCTAGTTGCCCATTTTTGCGACACATTTATCGGGTTGGAGCTTTTGCATAGCGAACGGGAGGGTTTTTGACCCTCTGACGTAAGTGTGTGCCGGGGCGCGCTTTAGCAGTGAGGGGGTTCCGGACGCGCCACATTACGCACGGGCGTAAGGTGTATAGAACGGAATACTTCTTCTGAATTTATTTTTTACAAAGTGGATATATAAAGTAAAAGAAGTATGCAGAAGGCTTTTTAATAAATAAAAGAACCTATTTATGGTAAATCTGGAACAGTTAATGGTCAGTATCATGGCTTTTCGGAATTTTGGGAATATATACCAGTATTTTTGCTGATTGGTTCACTTTTGCTCGATATTAATTGTAGACTCTCGTCTGAAATACTTTTTTTAAATCAGAAGCTACCGCGATGTCTTTAATTACAAAAAGCATTACAAAGAAGCAGGGGCGCAGGAACTTTCGCAAAGTAGGCTGTGAATGGCCAATGAAAGCTAAGGAGATACAAGATACAAACGCCAATGAAGAATCATATAAAACCACAGACAGGTGAAGAATTGTGAAACTTTAACTCTTTCGAAGAAGCCTAAAAATCTTAGATGGTAGCGGGTCCAGGAGGCTCGAGTTTATGTTGTACTTCCGTCAAACCACGCGAGCTTTTGCCGTGGGCTCTTTGTATGATTCATTTTAAGTTTAGAGATTTCAAGTTCTTTTCCTTTCATACACTAATATTATGACGAACATTAACACCAAGCTAAAGTAAATGATTCTCCTCAGTATAAACCTATGAGGTGACAATCATCAGTTCCCAACTCGCGAAAACACTGTCCTCTGGTTAGTAAAAAGCTTTCTACATGCTTCTTTTACTATTACATGTATATTCTCTTTGTTAGAAGTAATAAATTAAAGTAGAATAAATTAATTAAAAAAGTATTCCGTTCTATACACCTTACGCCCGTGCGTAATGTGGCGCGTCCGGAACCCCCTCACTGCTAAAGCGCGCCCCGGCACACACTTACGTCAGAGGGTCAAAAACCCTCCCGTGCATAGCGAATGAAAAAAATAATTTGTCGAAAAGTTTGCTTTTTTGGATTCTTGACACCACTATCGATAGAAATATTTGCAAACTTAATTCTAAAACTTTTAAAAGATCGTTAGATACGGTGCTACTTGTGCATTATAAGAATCCAGAAATCTGGCAATTTACAAATGGTTGAAACATATTTTTGTGTAAAAATAAAAGCTGAAGAACGCAGAATCTTAGTTTTACAAAAATGTCTTAATTTTTAAAATTGGCATGCCTTTCTCAGGGCCAGCTAGCGGTGAGTTTTTGGGAAAAGCGCAAAATAAAAACAATACAGAAAGGCACGAGACCCCAGGAATCGCCATTAAAGTGCAAGGAAGCCAAAAGATGCCTACGAATCGTGAAACATCTTAATCCTATTGCCGGCCCGATATTTTTATGGCAAACCAGCAGAGATTTTTGAGGAAAGCCAAAGCAATTTCACATATTTAGATTGCGAAAATTGAGCTTTAATAAAATTAAAATCCTCAAGTCCTTTATTCTTTTCCTTTATTAAATTCAATTTTTTTCAGGAAGCCCTGCAGCGCGCCAAGGAAATTGCCGCGAAGACCGAGAATTCCGGCAAATGTTCCGGATTTAGCTCTATGCTAATTTTGCTCTTTTTATCAGCTAGGTTCCGATTTTAATTCAAATCTTAGTCGTCAAATTTTGGAAGAATTGATGTTTTACAAAACCTAAAATTCTTAAAAATAAACCCTTGCCCAAGAATGGCTTTTTGCTGCCCCCCCTATTTCTATTACGTGTATCACTTTCCGCATCGAATCACATATTTTTCACCATTTTTAAATTTAGCAATTAAATGCGATTTTTAGAATTATCGTAATTGATTTTTTATTAATCCTCCTTTCAGCTTTGTATTATAGAAATTTTTAATGAAACATTTTTTCCAGCTGATTTGCATTTACAGAATTTTTTAATACTGTGGATTACTGTATTTTCTGTCTTATTGTACCTGGAATCATCAACTATAATAAAAAAGTAGTGGCGTCCGTCCGTCCGTCCGTCCGTCCGTCGTGTCCCGGATTCAACTCGAAGGGGAAAGGAGCTAGAGCTTAGCTCTCTTCGGATTCGGATAGAGCGTGGTCAGAAACCCCCAAACTGATAAAAAAATTACGAAAAAGTTTTTGTTTAAATTATTAAAATTAACTTTGAAAGTGGCGCCTTAATAAAACGAGTGGGGGCCCCTCTCCCCGGGAGGCCACGCCCCCTTTCTCTTCGCCCCTCTTCCCCAGGCCCCTTCGCGCGCCCAGATGCCTTTTTGAGTTACTTTAATACTTTTAATACTTTTTAATTATGTTAATTAATTATTTAAATTATTTAAAGTATCTAAAGCCATCAGGAAGGTATTGAGGTAGTTTTTGAAGGGGATTTCAGCCATGGGGGGTATCTGAAGCCATCAGGGAGGTATTTAGGTAGTTTTTTGAAGGGGATTTCCAGCCATGGGGGTATCTGAAGCCATCAGGAAGGTATTTAGGTAGTTTTTGAAGGGGATTTCAGCCATGGGGGTATCTGAAGCCATCAGGAAGGTATTTAGGGTAGTTTTTGAAGGATTTCAGCCATGGGGGGGTATCTGAAGCCATCGGGAAGGGATTTAGGTAGTTTTTGAAGGGATTTCAGCCATGGGGGTATCTGAAGCCATCGGAAGGGATTTAGGTAGTTTTTGAAGGGGATTTCAGCCATGGGGGGTATCTGAAGCCATCAGGGAGGTATCTAGGTAGTTTTTGAAGGGGATTTCAGCCATGGGGGGTATCTGAAGCCATCGGGAAGGGATTTAGGTAGTTTTTGAAGGGGATTTCAGCCATGGGGGGTATCTGAAGCCATCAGGGAGGTATCCAAGTAGTTTTGAAGGGATTTCAGCCATGGGGGGGTATCTGAAGCCATCGGGAAGGGATTTAGGTAGTTTTGAAGGATTTCAGCCATGGGGGTATCTGGAAGCCATCAGGAAGGTATTTAGGTAGTTTTTGAAGGGATTTCAGCCATGGGGGTATCTGAAGCCATCAGGGAGGTATCTAAGTAGTTTTTGAAGGGGTTTCAGCCATGGGGGGTATCTGAAGCCATCATGGGAGGTATTTAGGTAGTTTTTGAAGGGATTTCAGCCATGGGGGTATCTGAAGCCATCAGGGAGGTATTTAGGTAGTTTTTGAAGGGGATTTCAGCCATGGGGGGTATCTGAAGCCATCAGGGAGGTATTTAGGTAGTTTTTGAAGGATTTCAGCCATGGGGGTATCTGAAGCCATCAGGGAAGGTATTTAGGTAGTTTTTGAAGGGATTTCAGCCATGGGGTATCTGAAGCCATCAGGGAGGTATTTAGGTAGTTTTTGAAGGGGATTTCAGCCATGGGGGGTATCTGAAGCCATCAGGAAGGTATTTAGGTAGTTTTTGAAGGGGATTTCAGCCATGGGGTATCTGAAGCCATCAGGAAGGTATTTAGGTAGTTTTTGAAGGGATTTCAGCCATGGGGGGTATCTGAAGCCATCGGGAAGGGATTTAGGTAGTTTTGAAGGGATTTCAGCCATGGGGGGTATCTGAAGCCATCAGGAGGTATCTAAGTAGTTTTTGAAGGGATTTCAGCCATGGGGGGTATCTGAAAGCCATCGGGAAGGATTTAGGTAGTTTTTGAAGGAT